AATTGAGGAATTCTAAAATGTGAAGGGAAGGATTGGATCACCGACCTGTGATAAAATGAGGTTAAAGTTTAAGTATATTACCAACCAAGCTAATTCACTTTATTGTAAAACATATGTATATAAAATTATTATCTATACTCAATACATATACATATATATATATATACATATACATATATATATATATATATATATATATATATATACATACATATATATATGTATATATGTATGTATGTATATATGTATATATATATATATATATATATATACATACATATATATATATATATATGTATGTATGTATATATATATATATATATATATATATACATATATATATATATATATATATATAAGAGATAGGATGGGGCCCTCCCCCAAGCATGGGCCCTGGGCAAGGGCCCAGCCTGCCCTTGCCCCAGGGTCGGCCCTGATTTTCATCATAACTTTTTTGCAATGAAGTAAAATAGTGTTAGGAACAAGTGTAATTAGATTTTGATGATACCAATCTCACTAGGATCATAGACCCCTCTTTTTGATTTCTTTATCTTAGAAGTTTCGTGTTAAACGAAAACAGTAGCAACTCACCATGTGATTCGGTTAAGTAGATACATACACGAATTTGAGTTGTATTTACTAGTTTAGGTCTACGAGAAGAAGTGAAGAACAAAAGAAGTCCAAGAGAACAACACAGACCGAAAGATGAAAGGGTCTAGCTCTCATGTAAAGTGACTCTTATCGTTAAAGATAACGAAAGTTAAAGAAGATCTTTCGTGTGACACTTCTGAGACAATTAAGTCTAAGTCAGATTTGAATAAACAAATTCAATACACGAGCAAAGAGAATGTTGTGTATGTCTCACAGTTGGGTAATCATCCTAGACAAAAGGAGTCATAGGAATGATATTCACAAAATCAAGGAGCATTAAAAGATTTGTACTACTTGTCAGAAGAAAAAGACAAAAGCCACAATGTTTTTGGACTCCAACGGTTACACAGTACAACCGCAATAAATGCTCCATGCCAATGGTCATTACACACTGGTTAATAGGTTTGAAATTTCATCTCCCTCCAACGGATGAATTTTTTCTTCACCTATAAATACTTCTCTTCACCACTGAAAAAGGAGCTGGCTGTTCAACTGATTTTATCTACCATGCACATGGTGGACACGGGTTCAGGGCATAACGCTCCCTCCGGACAAGTTCAAGGCTGGTTTGGTCCTAATCGTCCTATGGTTGTCACCTCTAACAAAGAATGAAATAAAGTAGAAATAGAATATTAATCAGATTACATTATTTTGTTTATTGAAGAAATAGATTTCATAAATTATAGTTTAATTTTTTATTGATCTAAAAATATAAATGGAATAAACCTTCAAAAGATAGAAAAAATCATACTCTAAATATTATATTATATATCTAAACATACAAAATATAAAAAATATAAATAAATTTGAACTAAGTGCGTTAAGAAAGGATGGAATAATTGTTTCTTAAAAGGTTATTCCAATTTAGGTTTTTTTTGGAGGGGGGGGGGGGGGGGAGATATTTTTGAAATATAAAAACAACAATGCACATTAATTTTCTTGGTAATTAATACACTCGTTGCTAAGGGTCCTTAACTTTCGAAGGTAGGAAACCGGAAGAGTTTATTGATATATAACTAGACACATTTTACATTTTTTAGAGATATGGAAAATGGAAAATAGGATAATGAAAAACAAAAAATGTGTTTACTAATACGGTACAGTTTCTAACTTTGAAACTAGGAATTGAGAATGAAAAACTAGAGAATGGTAGTAAATGTATTATCTATCACGACTAGCTACTACAAATATAATGATGGTTAATTTGCATCCAAACAAAAATTTACTCTATAGGGAGAATCATATCACTTAAGTCGGCCGGTATTTCATCATAATGATCTCTTATTTCTCGAAAATTGGATTCATGTTGATTAGAATTGCATTTGAGAATATCATCATGACCTTCGAGCATGCTGACTACTGCAGACATGGATGGCCTAAGCACAGGGGAAGGATTAGTGCAAAGCAAAGCCACTTTGATCATTCTGAGTGCTTCTTCTTTGTCATAATCAGAATGCAATCTTGGATCCATTAGCTCCATTAAATTTCCTTTTTCTCGAAGAACAAGTGCCTAAAAATGTGCATATATAGACACAATAGAACTCATTACAGTATAAGCCTAATAAGCCACTTAGTTTGAAGGTTTGCAATCTATGAGCTTGGTAGTATTGAAATCTCACCCAATCAAGAAGGCAAACACACTCCTCATCATGACGATACTTCATGTTGTTCTTCCCAGCAACAATTTCCAATGCCACCACCCCGAAACTATAGACATCAGCTTTGAATGTTAAGTAGCCCCACAATGCATATTCAGGAGCTGTGTATCCCCTATAGAGAAAATAGAGAAGAGAAATATTTTCTTTCAACTATATATATGATGAATCTGGAAATACAAAATGGACAAGATTTTGTTATAACATCACATCTTACAGTGTCCCAGCAACTCTTGTGCTAATGTGCGACTTCTCATCATCATAGAGTTTAGCTAAACCAAAGTCAGATATTTTTGGATTGAGTTCTTTGTCAAGAAGCACATTGGTAGTCTTAATGTCTCTATGAACAACTTTTATTGCTGATTCTTCATGCAAAAAAGCTAAACCTTTTGCAATACCAACACAAATGTTTTGTCTGGTAGGCCAGTCGATTTTCAGGCCAAGCTCTTCTGGACCTGTTATTAACTATTCACTTAGAGTACTAACGTTTATGTTGAAAAAATAAACTAAATCCTCACTTTTCTAGTAGCATATATACCTTATATATAGACAACGAATTGAAATATGTCTTTAATTAGATTATTACTTATGTTTTTTTTTTTTAATTGTGACTAGCAACCAAAATATTTATGATTTCAAATTTACCAAAGAGAGCATGGGCAAGGCTGTTGTTTTCCATGTACTCATACACCAACAACAATGGCTTTCTCTCAACACAGCACCCGTAGAGTTTCACAAGATTAGGATGCTGTTGACAAGAAATCATGCCAATTTCATTCAAAAATTCGCGGTATCCTTGTCTTGATTTAGCCGAGAGTTGTTTTACAGCAATAACTGTACCATCTAACAATGTACCCTGATTTAATACACGAGAAAAATCCAAGATCATTAGCACAAGCATCTATGGTAGGTCTAAAACAAAAGTTATAAATTAACACATTGACATATTATGGATATTTGTATAGTATTTTTCTATACCTTATATACAGGTCCAAAACCACCTTCCCCAATCTTATTTGCAACATTAAAGTTGTTCGTAGCAACTTTAATTTGTCTAAAGGTAAATAGACCAGTTTTTAGATCAAGGCCTCGTAGTTCTGCACCAACACAATTACTTTTAATGAAAAAAAAAATATTATTTTGAGGTGAACCGTCAAGGCACATTTTCAACAAGCTTATGATTGTTTTGTGATGCCATGTCAACCTTGAGCATGCACAAATTGTCTCAATGTCCAAGTTCCCATACAAAATTAGAAAGTAATTAAAAGTAGATGCCAATATTACCTTTTTCGTGTGAGTTCTTGTTTTTAATGTAGATCTTCCACCCAGCAAAACAGAGGATTGTGAAAATAAGAAATGAAGAAGAAGCTATAGCAATAACTATGATTAAAGTCTTTCTGTTCTTGGGAGGTTTGAAATCTGCAGGTTACGTTTGTAAACGTAGGAAAGGAATGAAAGTGAATTAGATATCTTTTATTTATGTGCAACTAAACAGAAACAAAGAACAAGTAATATGCAAAATTGGCTAAAAATAACTAAATAATTACCACATTTAAAATTTAAAAAGCCAATAAATAAATAAATAAATATATATATATATATATATATATATATATATATATATATATATATATATAAACTATATATGCTATTTATTATGTGTGGGAATCATCACTAATTTTACCAGATTCCACAGAAATGGCAGATATTAGAGGTCCATATGTTCCTCTATTGGGAGATGCTGCTGTTCCTTTTCCAGCATACTCAAAGCGCACCTCTAGAGTTTTATCTCTTACAACTACTTGAAATTGTTTGACCAAGGCTTTATCAACACCTTGTGCTTCAGTTTTAATATCAAAATCCTTTAATTTCCTTTCGCCCTATAGCCAATAAAATGCACTAAAGTCAAATACACTTCACTTAACCATTGAAGTCCTCAATTTAAATGGTAATATAAACTTCTTAGTTCACCTGTATATAAACATCAAATATGCGTCTTCCAAGACTTCGAAAAGATCTATTGTCTCTCATAACTATCTCTGCGAAATGAAGTTTCACAGTATAGTTTCCATTTGCTAGACAACGTCCGTAATACGTTAGAGACAAAGGAGACAAACGAGCTGTCTTGTAGATTTCGGGGTCCTCTCCTTTGATTACAGATATATTTGTTGTTGTATAGTCAGATACCATTACTTTTTTATCCCAAAAGTACCCGGTATTACTCGTTACCCAGTTCTCTCTCTTGTGAACAAATTTTGCAAGTCCAGTAGAATCATCATCTGCGTCATATGTAGTGTCACCAACCAAAACATTGCCTCCACCACAATTGATGTGAAATGAATACCAATCTGCCCAAAAAAAATGATCAAAATGAACTAAAAAACATTGATGCATGAATGCTTTGTGAAAGATAGATGATTCAAGTATTGTGATATGATGTGCTTACCTTTTGTGCAATTCTTTAGACACTTATCAGTTTCTCTATACAAAGCCAAAAGGGGGTAAAGTACGTTAGAAATCAGTGGAGACTAAATTACATTAAGATTGAACCCTTAGAGTAAAACTTACTCATTTTCTCCTCCATTATAGCTTTTGAACAAATTCCTAATAAGAAAATGAGAAAGCTAAAATGATCCATCTTTGAAGGAAGAACTGAAAGAATAGATGCATATAAAGAGGCAGAATCTTACAGAGTTTCCTGATTGCAAACTGGTGACACAGAACTCTCCTTGAAATTATTGTAAGAAAGATCTATGTAACTGCACACCATCTTTTAACTTCCGTTAGTAGTTTTTATAACACAAGAGTAGTTGAAAAAAAAAAAGCTTCAATAGTACAATACAACATAACTTCAATAAAATTCATCAAAACTTCAGACATGAAACTTTAATTTCTTGCACATGAACTACAAATAATATATAAGACTGAATTGAACTTACTATAAGGAACCTCGATTTAGAACCCACTGAGGAATTTGCCCACTAAGCGAATTGTTCGTTAGATACCTAAAAACAGGTAGGAAAGTATTCAATTTAATAGTGGTTACATGCGAATAATATTGAATTCTTCATAAATCCAAATAGAATGCTGATTAGCTTTGTATTAAAACAAAATGCCCAAATAGAAAGGAATCTAATTATGCTTTGTTGTTAAGATCTAAATTGATTTGTTACTCACATGTACTGCAGTTTATTAAGACCTTGAAGAACAAGAATCCCTCCTTCCAGATTATTAAAACTCAAATCTCTGCAAATTCAATGTGATAATAAAACAATAAAGCAAAGAAGTATATCAACTTTAATATACTCTCAGCCTATACTCAGCTAGTATTCTATGGAACATGTATATTCCTTTGTTTGTGATACGCATAAATCTATCAGGAAAGAGAAGATGATTGATTATAGATCAATAGGAGAAAATTATGTATATCATAAATTCATAATATATCATAATTAGGGTTGGGGTTCAATTTTAGTATAAATAGGTTTATTGTATATGAATATTGAGAACCATGAACACAGATAAATATATTGATACTCTATTCTTCATAGTCATTTCTTGGAGCTCTCACATGCTCGAAGTATGAATTTGGAGTTTGTCGTGACTCGAATACGTACGGTTAGGAGCCAGAAGTCTGCTCAAAAAGTTCCCTATTTGGTTTATTTTTAAAAGAACGGAAGGAATAGGATTCTTGGAATTGGTTATTCCCTTTGCAATGGGAATAGATCTTATAGTTCATTAATTAAACAGCTGATGAGAAGGATCAAAGAAATTTCAAGTTGGAGAGATTACAGTTGTCTCAAGCTTGTCATATTTGCAATATATTCTGGTAAATTCCCAGAAATATTACACCTCCTCAACATCCTGCAACCAAAATTGTTCTTTTTTTACATAAATATTTTCATCTCAGAGCGGAATTATGAAACTTAAGGTCATATTTTTAGAAAGAAAATGCATTACTCACAAAATTTTTATGTTTGCCATTTTATTTAATGTAGGAAATCTGGAGGCCCCTCCTCCATTTAAGTCACTGATTCTACTGCAAATTCATGTAAATATAATTATGCTATAATAAAAACATGAGTATATATTATTATATTAATCAAATCTTCAAAGGAAATCTTAACTTACAGTTCTGCCAAGCTTGTTGGTACAATATTTGGAGGTATGGGTCCTTCAAAACCACTTGCTTGAAGCTCTCTGCCAATCATGCTTTGCTTGTCGATAAGAAATGATTTGAATTTTAATTTAGACCATAGATTTTTGAATGCTTACAGTTTTTGAAGGTTTTTGAAAGTTAGAAAGCTGGGCAGTTTTCCAGTGAAGTTATTACTGCTGAGCCTACTGCATTTATTCCCAAGAGGCAAGGACAGTAACAAGTGAGCATATATATGAAGTATTGAAGAAACAAGAAAATTAGGAATATGGATGATGATCAGATTCAGATGCACTTACAATTCAGTCAAATTTGTGAGAGCATTAAGTACTTGTTTTGGCAATTCACCAGTGAGATAATTAGCACTAAGAATGCTACAGAAAGCAAAAATATAATGAAGAAATCATCAAACAAGTGAGAACAAAAAGTTTAACAAAGTTAAGGCTTACAGATTCTGTAAGTTGACAAGTTTCCCAAGCTCGGGTGGAACACTTCCATTGAACATATTGCTCTCCAAGCTTCTGTAAATTCATTTAATTTGTTGTTAGAACAAAACCCACACATAAAAGAGTTGAACAAAAGTGATTGTAGGAGCAAGAGAACATACAGATATATAAGAGTTGTTATGTTTCCCAAGTATTTTGGAATTGGCCCAGACAATCGATTCACACTAACACCTCTGCAAATTTTCATTTCTTTACCATGGACAAGAAGATGGCTTTGCTTATAGTACAAATTAAACACAAACTTACAGAATTTCCAATTTCATTGAAGCCCATCCAGGGGGAATTGTACCACTTAAATAGTTGCGGGTAAGATCACTTCACAAAATAACACTAATAATCAAGCAAAGAATATCAACAAGAAGAGGTGATTATTGCATAAACGTATAAAGTGTAGGTAAGTACATTATCTTAAGAAAGGGTAACTTCACCAAGGCAGGAGGAAGGACACCTTGCAGATCCTGTCCCTTCAAGATTCTGCATACATGATAACATTAGCGAATTAAAATTTTGTATCCAATATAATTGATTGAAAATTCTAATGTGTCATACAATCATATATTTCATATATGATTATTCTAAGTACTATTGAGAATCAGTGTCAATAATATTGGATACAATCATTATAATATATACAAGATGGACCCTGGTCCTAAATTATGTATTTTTAGTATTGGAATTGTGAACATCTAGAATATAAATTGTGTTTTTAACTTTTGAAAATTTGTGAATACAATACAGAGTCATCATAAATTGTGAATTTTTAAAAGATAATTATGAACATTTAGTATATATGTATCTTTAGACTCGGGTCCACCTTACAAGGTGGACCCGGATCCACAGAATAATTTGTCATAGTTTAACAGGAAAATTATGCTGTGCAACCGTTTGCACCATGCAAGGTGCACACGGTTGCCAAAACGACGTCGTTTTGATGTCCGACTTTAAAAAAAAAATCAGTTTCGATTGCCGTCAACGGCGTTATATTGTGCATAACTTGAACTAAATATCCAGAATGAATGAACTAAATATCCATAATGAATGAACTATATATCCAGAATGAATGAACCACATATCCAGAATGAATGAAATAAATAATATCCAGAATAAATGAACTAAATATCCAGAATGAATGAACTATATAGTTCAAATTATGCACAACATTACACCGTTAACGACAATCGAAACTGAATTTTTTTTTTTAAAAGTCGGACGTCAAAACGACGTCGTTTTTGCAACTGTGTGCACCATGTATGGTGCACATGGTTGCACAACATAACACTCCAGTTTAACATGATTAGGCTCCTTATTCACAATGTAGTCATGATTGAGCTAATTGTAGTAGGATTAGGGTTAATTAATTCCCAATGTAACAAATGACTCCCAAGTACGTGATTCTTGAGGAAATTAACAAAAAATTAAGGGATTGGTATTTTGCTGATAGGGGTGGGATTTTTAACTAATTTTTCATCTTGCAAATACCAATTTTTTGTGGGGTCTAATGGAGAAGAAAATGGGAAAAAATCACAGCGCGGCCTGTGCCTATGCACACTGTCGAATATACTTTCTCACTATACCAAAGTATAATTAGACATTCGAATTAAAAAAAAAAAATTCAATTGAACCATTAAACATTTTAAAACAATGCGATTAAACCATTTAACAGGTTACCAAAAGGGAACGGGTTAATTTTGCTTGCTTGACATATGACGTGGCACTAGTTTTTTTTTTTTTTTTTTTTTTTTTTTTTTTTTTTTTTTTAATACAAAAAACTAATTAACTAAAAAGAAATAGTTGCCAGTGGCAAAGAAGCCGCTAGTTTCTTCGTCAGATCATATCAAGAAGTTGGTAGGTTTCTCCGTCCGATTTGAACGAGAAGCCAGTGAGCTTCTATATCCAAATCGAATTGAGAAACCCATATAGCTAGTGACCCAAAACGACGTTGTTTCTATAAGTTGGGGAAGTTGATGTGATGGACACCGTTCCGTCCGTCCAATCTCGTTACAGATTTATTTTTTGTGTGTTTGTGTATTTTTTTAAGAGTTTATGTGCATTATGTTAAGAGTTCATGTGTATTATGTTAAGAGTTTATGTGTATTATATGTAAGAGTTTATGTGTATTATTTTAAGTGTTTATGCGTATTATGTATTATGTTAGATTATGTATATTATGCTAGGAGTTTATGTGTATTCAATTATACAATTCTGTACATACGAAACAGTGAATTTTTTAGGGCGCACAATGCTCGATATAATGATTGACTTCATATATGTTGATATGGACGGATCTCCGTCCAAATTGACATGGAGGAAGAAACCTTGGCTGCCATGGCGTTGTTGTTGTTGATTTTTTCTTTAAAAAAATTTAATATAATTATTTTAATTTCTCTGCAAATAAGTTTATAAATATTAATCGACATGACATCTTGCAGGGTAGGTGACTTTGGGGTAACATGTTATTATAGGTCATATGAGTTAATTGCACTGTTTTAATAAGTTTAAGAGTTCAATTGCAAGGTTTTTTTTTTTTTTTTTTTTTTTTTTAAATTTGATAACCAAATTACACTTTAGTATATAATTGGATGGTGTATTTAACCCTTATGTTTTTTTTTTTTTTTTTTTCCTTTTTTGAATGCTACTGACTCTATTACAATGTAGTATCTGTTCATAACTACTTTCTCAATCTACTGAAGCACAAAGAGCTAATAACGCCTCCATTGAGGCTCAAACTCACAATCTTCCATATGAGAGTCCAACCCGGGTACCATCTGAGCATTGTACAAGTAACACGTGTGATTTGTCTGTTTTTTTTTTTGTTTGTTTGTTTTTTTTTTAAAATTTATTTATTCCTTCTCTCTGTTTCCTGGCTAAAAACTTGACAAAAAAATAAAATAAAATAAAAAACAACAGACGGATAAGGATGCTCTAAGCATTGTACAAGTAACACGTGTGATTTGTCTCATTTTTGTGACCACTGTTCCTACCTTTTACACTATCTATATTAACTACCAAATTCATGTGTGGTAGGCCTAGGAGCGAAAAATCATCAAGGAGTACCCAGCCTTCATTCTCTTTTATACAGATTTTAAATAGATTAGATCGATGTTTATTGCATGTGTGTTGCATAAATATTGTAGCTAGGGATTTTTATAAAATAAAAATAAAAATAAAAATAAATAAATAAAATTTAGACATCTAAATCAATACCCTAACTCCAATACAAAAACAAGCTCAAAAGTAGAGATTTGACACCAACTTATGTACTACTCAACATTCTCTTGTTAAATCAATATGGGATCGTTTCCAACACAAACTTCCCAAAGTGTGAAAAAGAGAGTATCAAAAGCATATATAACCAAAAAAAAATAATAAAAGGTAGAAGGAAATTAAAAGCTTACATGGTTTGAACATGGCAAATGCCACCGGGGAAGCTACAATCGCAAGTGAGAGTATTATTGTACTGAGGCGTATCATTCCTTTTTGGTGACAACCAGTTAGAGTTGTTGTCACAAGGATTTAGTCTAAAATCCCAATCCTTCTTCCCCAGTTGTTCTGCTATTTCCTTCAGTGCATTTACTGTAAAGTATTTAGTGAAGAAAACTCAATATCTTATTGATTCCATGCATAGGCTTTTATACAAGAATTATACAGAGATAAAAGGCAATCCTATAGTTACGATAACAATCACAAAGACTAGCTCAAATAAAAAAACAAATAATAGAAACCAACCAACACTAACACATTAATCTTTATCATTTACTTCAATAATATACATTCAACAAATTAAAGCTAGATGTTAATTTGAATGTAATGACAGAGCTAGCACAATTGAAAATTCATAATATATGATGAAGCTAGAAAATAATAGAGAGCCGAGGGGGCTCACATTCATCTAGAGGAAGATGCCCACTCTGTGCTTCAAGAAATGTTGCATTAAAGAAGAGTATAATTACTACGAGGATGATTAACCTGGAAGTTGACATGGCTGAGCTCTGGGGAAGATCAGCTGCAATAAGTGTGTTATTTTATATATTCATTGTATATAATAAATAAAGAGAGAATCATAGAAAAAAGAAAGTAGTCTTCACCAAAATAGCAGTTGACTATGAGTCAATGAGTTCTGGCTTTATTATCTGGTTGACGCCTTGACGGTGAGTTTTGAGCTACTGCCGTAACCCTTGGGGCAAGATAGAATGAAACATTTACGTGAGGTTTGGGGCAATTTATATCGTGGACCAGGGTTCACATAGCATTCTAGATTGTAGATCCTGGATTAAAACAATGTCGTTTTGATATTTAAGATTTAACAGATTCAGTAGTTTTCCGTTTTCATGTTTTAACACAAATATAAATTTATTTTAGGTATAGAATTAATATTTCTTATTGTAAGTGTACAAAGTTGGTATACATTAAACCTTATATATTGGCTAATTGATTTATTAAATAATTAGGACTAGTTTAGACAAAACTCTTGGACCTTTTCCTATTATAAGTACATTATTTATCATTTTATCTAATGGCTCATGATCAGTGGTTGCTTATTTTTGAAGTGGAAGTCAGCAGATTATATGGGGTTGAAGCTAATATTACGGGATCTATTATTTGTGAGTGGCTGTGGTTATTTGCTTTGAGTGGATGACTTGGGGAAGTTTGTTGGAGTGAAGATTAATATAAAAGGAAGGCTTTCTCAATATGGAAGTTCACAAATTCATACATGCTGATTTGAGAGAAGTGAAGTTGAATAAATTCTAACATTCTAAATCTGATTACTATTCTAATTTGATGTGTGATTTCTACTGAGACATACTGTATGTACCTGGGTTAGCTAAAACATCTCTTGAAGATTATCTCGGTATGCACGTACCAGTTCTGAGTGGATGTTAGGAAGTTTGTAGTGGTAGTAGTGGTCGATAGCCTTATGTACTTACCCCTTGTAACACCTTGGTGGACATCTAGTGGATTGGGTAAACGTGAGTTGTCCCATAGACGTAGGAGAAGTGTTCCGAACTGCGTAATCAATTCCGGTGTACTTGATTTATTTTTTATACCTTTTATTTCGTTATTTATTTTCATTAAATAACTTAATTAATTAGTCCGGTAATATCTATTTTAAAATCAAGTAGAAGTTTAAGATATATCTTGCATTCAAGATTCACGGCTCTTTTTCAATTGGTATCAGGTCCCGGAGACTTAAATTATTAGTCTATCGATTTGGCTATCCCGTGCTTCATGAACTCAAGTTTTCAACGATTTTATTGCTTTTGTTTATTTTATTACTTTGTTCAATCTCAACGTGTTGAGTGTTTCAGGATGGATCGTCTTAAAGTACTTCCCCAGTTAACAGGTGATAACTATGCCCATTGGAAAGCTCGCATGCGAACTCACCTGAAAGCTCAAGGAGAACTTGTTTGGCGCTCTGTTCTAACAGGGTGGACGCATCCTACTAAGGCCGAAACTAGTGCTGACGATCCGCAAGTGGCTAAACCTGAAATTGAATGGACCCAAACCGAAATAACTAATGCTGGAAATAATGATAAAGCACTTGACACTATTTATTCATTGATACATGAAAGTCAATTTCCCTTAGTTGCAGGTTTTGAGTCGGCAAAAGGTGCTGGGAAGCACTTGAGTCAACCTACGAAGGTACAAGTTCAGTTAAGCAGTCTAAGCTGTAACTAGTACAGTCTGATTTTGAAGAACTTCAGATGAAACCATCACGAGTTTCCATAGTTGTGTGCAAGAACTGGCAAATCGAGCAATGGTACTCGGCGAGCCCAGGGCCGGTCCTATCATTTTATAGGCCCGGGGCAGGATAATAAAAAATGGGCCCCCGTTAATATATATTTCATGCCTAAAATTTAAATTAAATAAGGAAAAAATTATTAATATCAATAACTTTAAATAATATTAACAAGTTTTTAACAATTTTACATACACAACAATAATCATGAAAAATTTTTTTAGGTGCTTTCCTTAATGCAAAATAATAAATAATTGTATAAGTGTCTTCATAAATAAATAATATTATAGTTTATAAAAATGAATAAATAATTTTAAATCCAGTAAACTTATAAACAATAACATTTATCATAATAAATAATAAATTAATTATTATTAAAAATTTATAAAACAATAATTACAAACATATGGAATCTAAAAATCTCTTTTAACTAGGGGCAAGAAATTAAAATATTTCAAAACGCAATAAAAAAAATGCAAAAAGATATGAAACATAATTATCTAGATTAAATAGTTTGAACATAAAGCATATTATAAATCACATATCTTCAATATTATTTATATAATTTTTATAAATATTTTTTTTTAATACAACTACTTTTTCTTTTAAATAGATAAATTTTAAACTTTTTTAAGAATAATTTGAATACATATAATGACACATGATAGAAGCTTCTAGATTACATTGATTAGATATATTCATAAAAAGAGTTAATACCAGCGAAGGCCCCTCGAGTATAGTGGTTCCACCACCTATGGTCCTAAACTTTCAAATCAACCATCCGTAATCCTCTAAGTTTTGAAATTGACATGCAATAGTCCTTCCGTTAGTAAGTTCCGTTTCAGCCGTCAAATGTAAGGGTATAAATGACTTTTCACGTTTTGTTCATCCAAATGAATTCATTTGCTCTGATCCACTTCTTAATGATTCATATATACGCACAAAGAAAACTCCCCGGAATGAATTCATTTGTTCCGATCCCCTTCTTAATGATTCATATATAGCACACAGACAACTCCCCGGAGAATCAAGATTCAGGCTAGCTAAGCTAGGTAGACATGGCTGCCGCCGTCACACCCAAATCATTCCCCACGGATCCCCGAGTCTTAGATTTTCGGGCGCTGTCGCCTTCTCTGATTGCGTCTGGACGACGTTCCTGCGTCGCCAATGACGAGGTTCTCACCCACTTCCTAGAAAGCTCCCTCAAAGTCCCCGACCTCGTTCTCCAAGACGCGTTTCTCTCGCCAGAAACTGGTCCAGAGCCCGCCGAAGCTGGACTTCCGATCGTTGGAAACAATGGACAGAGGTTCTACACTCGAGATTCTCGATTCGGTTGCCAGCATCGGGTGCTTCGAGGTCGTCAACCACGAAATTCCCAGTGATCTGATCCCGTCCGTGCTTTCCGCCGACGGCGCGTTTTTCAGGATCCCAGGGTAGATGAAAGCGACGGCGACGAGGTCCCTGGAGAAGCTCTGGGGTTCGAGGAGGTTCACGCGGAGGACGACCGGCCGGAAGCGTGGAAAAGCTGTCTAGTGAAGTGGGATACATTTATGGGAAAATCCTCCAGTTCTTGGAGAAGAAGAAGATGAGCAACAGATCAAGCCCATTACTATTACAACAAGAACATAAACATGAAGAAGAAGAAGAAGAAGAAGAAGGCGCACGAAGCCCCAGCATCTGTTATCTGCTCAAACAATGGCAGAACGGAGATGGAAACATTTTGGTGAGCAAAACGTGAAAAGTCATTTATGCCCTTACATTTAACGGCTGAAACGGAGTTTACTAACGGAAGGACTATTACAGGTCAATTTCAAAACTTAGAGGATCACGGATGGTTGATTTGAAAGTTTAGGACAATAGGTGGCGAAACCACTATACTCGAGGGACCTTGGCTGGTATTAACTCTTCATAAAAAGGTACGGAGTAAATTATTATCTTTTAATTTTTTTTAATAATTCAATCTCAAAATATATCATATAACCCCTCCGTCCTATTTTTACGTGTCGCGAGCCCTTTCTCCAACCAAAGCTAGTCAAGAAAATTCTAAAATCTCTATAGCCGAGATTCAGAATGAAGGTCACGGTCATTCAGGAACATGACGGTTGGGAAAATAAGACCGTTACTCAATTAATGGGAAACCTTCGAACTTATGAAATGGAAATTCTTACCGATCACACCAAAAAGAAAAAATCTGCCGTTGAAGAACATGATGCTACTATACATCTGATCCAGAGGAACCAGGTGATGATCCAATTGAGTTTTTAACTAAAAAATTTTCCAAAATTTTGAAACAGGTTTCACAAAAGAATTCTCGAAACACAAAGTTTCAATAATGATCAAGCTCGAACACATCAAAGAATGGTTCCAAATCTGGCTCATCAAATTACAAATCTTCTTCCCCTCGTCCAGTTCATTCCAAAGACAAACCTAGCAACAAAGGGATTAGATGTTACGAGTGTGAAGGCTTTGGTCACGTTCAAGCTGAATGCTTATCTAAGGCGAAAAAAGTCTATGTCAGCCATAACCTGGAGTGACGATGAACCTGAGTCAGAAGTCGTCTGATCTGACGTAGAAGAAATACCTGGTAATTTTGTTGCATTCATGTGACAACCCAAAAATAATTTTTCAAAATTCTATTTTACAAAATTCCAAAATAGCCATTTTTACTCTTCTAAAATTTTATTTCGAAAATGGTGTTTGAATTAAATATTTTAAACCGAGTTTTTAAATAAATTCAACACCAAGCCTTATCAGGGTTTCGAAAATCCTAAATTTCGGGTACATTTATGTACCAAGTTTGACCGAAAAGTCAATCTGAGTGAAACTGGAAAGGAACCTGAGAAACTGGAACCAAGTGTTTTAACTAGAAACCATTTTTAGAAAATCCATTTTGACCCCAAGTTATTCAAAATCATCTTTTTAGACCATGGTCCATGATGCAAGGTGAACCATGAACCCTCTATATGGCCTTGTCTGATATTTTTAGAAATCAATCCAAATTACCATTTTAACCCCCACCAATCATTGGCCTCTCACCTAGGGTTTAGGACCCTATAAATTCTCCACTATTCTATTGAAGTTGCCTGATCCCTTTCTTTTGCCTCTCTCCATTCTCTGAGCTTTGTAGACAAGAGGAGAAGAAAACACAATAAGCATTCTTCCCTTCCATTCTCATCCATTCATTCTTTTGCTTCTAGTTTCCTTCATTTGTTTCAATCTCTGAGAATCTTCCTTAGGATTGGTTTGTGTTGTTTGTCTGAGGTGTTTAGGTGGTGAAGGAA